TATATGTATGTGAATAAAAATAAAAAAATGTTTCCCCTCTTAGTCCCAAAATAGAAATTGTTTTTCTTTTTGTTTGCACAAGATCACTTGTTCATATATATATATGTATGTATATTTAAATTATATGTTTTTTTCAATATTTAATAATTTCGTGTGTTTATAAAAAGAAAAAGAAAAAAAATATTTGTTTTGCATTGTAAAATTTTCACATAAATATATTCACACAATTTATGTTTTTTTATTATATTCTTCTTTATGTATAAAAAATTGTGATATGTGTAAAAAATGAAAAAAGATATTTATTAAGATTATTTAGCTACATATCAAGATAAGAGAAATGCGTTATTAGCTCCAAAAAAATAGCTTTTTTTGTCCATAAGCTCACTTATTCATTTTTAAGGCACATGTCTAGATGTTGGTTCATAAGGTTTTCCAAAATTATCTGCATACATACTGGACAAGGATATCTACTCTCCATATAATTGTTTTCTACAACAAGCATATCATCATCATTCTGATCATTATCATCATCTATTATCATTGTATCGTCATTAAAAACACTTCCAATGCATTCTTCAAGATGTTCATTTAATGATATCTCAGGTAGAATCTGCATGTTGCAGACTAAACATTTGTGTTCGAGATCCGTTGCGTCGCTCTTACCAATGCTAGTACTTGCATAAGATTGTGTTTTTGGAGTTTCATTGTCTATGGAATCACTCTCGATGATTATAGAATCATCCAAATGAGAACTAGAGACACTACTTATACTGATTATACTGTCATCATATGATGCACGAGAAGTAGAGGGAATGGCAGCTTTACGAACTGAATTTGCTTCCAACAGGCATTCATCAAGATGTTGGTTAATATCTGCAGATGGCAGCCTTCTGTTACAGACAGGACAGTTGACATATTCAGCCATCTCGTCTGGATTATCTAATCTTAAACGCTTATTAGGAATGGTATTTGCATCGATATTTTGTTCTATTGCTGATGTGGAGAACGTTCGAATAGGCAACATTAATTCCTCGTTATTATTATTATTATTGATATTGTTATTAATTTCGTCAATCAACGTATTATCATTTATTAGGCATGTATCTACATGTCTATATATATTTTCTAAAGTCATAGGTACGTTACACGTAGGGCAAGGTACGGAATTATTTCTTGGTTGACTTGGATTTACGACTGAATTATTGGCAGATCTCTCTTGTCTTGCGGCCGATGATGATTCTGATGATGAACCTCTTCTAGTTGATTCACGCCGGTGATTTTCGTCGTCGTTTACATGCATAAATTTAGTCAACAGATTACTCTGACCACTGTTACTACCTCCCAAAACACCAGAACATGAAAATGTAGGATTCTTAGAAACGTTCTTTGCATTATCCTTTTCTACTTTCCCACTCGGGCCGCTAGTACCCCAGCCATGTACATTATTAATAGAGCCACCCAATTTTTTCATTCCTAATGACAAATCTTGAGTATTTTTCTCATTCATAGTACGAAATGAATTTGTACTACCATTATTATCTCTATTAGTACTAGGCATATCATTGTTTCTTTGAGTGAGTATTTTAGAGTCACTATGAATAAGAGAGACTTTCGAAGATGAAGGTTTAGCTGTTGCATCTATCGCCGGAGTATTCTTTGTGAACCAATCAGTGATACTCCTATTTGGTTTCTGATCTTTCGATTTTGATTTATCACTTTGTTTTGAATATGATTTAAAATTTTTCGGCTCTTTTATCTTTATAAACTCGCCATTGCAATTCCGTTGATGTTCGCCCCACCAGAAGTCTGATGGACCAGGGGCACGGTTCATACTACGTCGAACCGTACCAAAGAATGGTGGTCTGTGTTGGCAAGGTCCATTACATTTCCACCAATGCTGTCTGTACAATCTTACTTCGTCATGAAAATTGTGATAAATCTATAAATCGATATAATAAAAGACTATATTAATATATATGTAGAATAAAAGAATTTAGAATAAAATGTAACAAAATTATTATTACAAATATACAAATGAGATTATTTTTTGAGTCAAATCCGATTCATAATTCACATTTGAATAATTTATTTTCATATGATTTACTCAAAATTTTTAAGTAAATGACAATATCGAATTATTATTTATATAAATACTATAAATATATTTGTATGAAAACTTTACAATGCAAAACAAATTTTTTTTTGTTCTTTATAAACACGATATTATTGATGTAATTCGTCAACTCAATTTATTGAGATTTAAACTGATTTCAACCATAATGTGGATAGTTTTAAAAATTGAGTTTAATGCATGTTTTGTAATAATAGCCTGTTTCTTAATAATATATCATGAATATTAAGATGAATAAATTATTAACTCACTGTTATATTGGTTCCTGCTTCTTTATTTATCCTATACATATGTTTGCAGAAATTTGGTCCATGACCATCTCTATCACGATCATTATTTGTTAAGAACAAGTACGCATGAATCATCTCGTGCTGCAAAAAATTTAATACAATAAAATACCATTAATATATAAAGTTCCTGAATTTTTTCTATAATTGTGTGTATACTATATTAATATTTATAAATATTAAAAAATGTTTACCAATAAAGTTTCAACAAGATCTTTTCTTGGCCTGAGTTTAAGTAAAGGTGCACTGAGGGATATGATACATTCTTTATTGCGTGAGTGAAAAGTGCAAACTCCAGCACAACTATAAATATATATAATCAGATATATATAAATGTTGAGTCAAACAATAATATTTTATATTTAAGAAGTGAGAGATATTTACCTTTTCATTCTGTTACTCCACTTGATCTGAACAGGAGACAAAACATTCCAAAAGAAGCGTGCATTAAATTGTACAAACAATGTATGAATATTGGGAGTAGGATCAATAAATTCCAATGCCTTGTCGACCAATGTTTGTATATAAAAGGTATTCTCCTGAAAATAAATATTATTTTTCAATACAATGTATGCCCCCCCCAAAAAAAAAAAAAAAAAAAGATTCTAGAACATATATTTGCTTTGTATAGAATATATTTATTAGACACTCTTAACCTTAAAATTCTTTAGGATAAATGTATAGTATACCACTCTTTTACATAATTTGTAATATTATAAATTTTTATATTTATATTTTGTATAAATTTGTTACATATATCTATATGCCTTATATCGTTACATGCTCATGTCATTATATTTCAACAGTGTAATGGATTTTGTAACTAAAAAAAAATTCTGTTTAATGGCAAAATAACGATTTTAATTATCATTATCTTTTGCATGCTATTACTTATTGTGCATGCTATAAAAGATATGTAGGTATACATGAAATCTCACTGAAATCAGTGAGGAAGTGGATATTCCACATAACTTAGCAATAACTTTCCCTTTTCAAATTTTTTACAATTTATTAAAAGAAATATCGAGTGTTTAAGAAGAACAAATTTTTGATACATTGATGCAATACATTTATGATCAAAATTGTTTAGTAATAAATACCTTTTCTAGATTAATTGCATTTTCTGTTACACCTAAACAATTGAGTTTTTCATGCATGTCATATGCCATGTGGAAATCTTGCGATGCCATTATTTTCTCTTATAGCCTTTGTTCACCTTATTTCACACGAGAAAAAATGATACTCTTTCTTTCTCTCTTTCTCTTTCTCTCTCTCTCTCTCTCTCTCTTTCTCTGTGATGTGCTTTATGCAACGTTATTTATTGGAATATCTTATGTATCAGGTGAAAATAAATAGAGAAATATTTTTACATATTCCACGAGACATTTCACACATTCGCACAATACAATTTATATCCATTTAAATCTAATGATAATTTTAAGAATCTTGAAACGCGACATGAAACGACAACACAATAACGACAATTGACGACAATCGAGTGAATAAAATAGCATAGAAGGAGAAGGACCAAGGACCGAGAGAAAAGAAGGAATGTGGAAGAAAGTTAGATGGCGAAACTAGTGTTCCGTTTTTCACGCATGCGTTGCAGTGAAGTAACAAGATGGAAAAAAAAAGGTATAATAGACGTTCCAACTTCTATTTTTGTCCAATTTCTAAAATTTGTTTAATTTGTTCACATTATTAGTAATAATCACATATTTTTTTACGTTTACATTTTTCTGTATTTAAAATGAGATGATATGTTATTGACGTTTTAGAAGAGGAGAGAGAGAGAGAGAGAATATAGACAAGCGTATAAAAAGAACAATTTGATAGAGAAAAAAGATGCTATACTTTTCATATAGACACACATGGCGATCAAATGTTGTGTTCCGATTCCCCACCCGGATGCACCCAATATTATAGTGATATGTCACGTATACTATAATATCGGGTGCACCCAGGTGGGGAATCGGAACACAGCCAAATATAATTGCCGATATGATTTGGAAATCTCTAAATTTATATATGTAGGAACAACGGTTCAATATTGGTCTAATTTACACAGTGATATACTTTAATATGTACTAAATACTATACCGACCAATCACAACCATTTCATTCTTTAGACTTAAGAGGATGCCGGACTTACTAGGCTTTTAAATACATTTTCAAACGTTCACTTATATTCTTTCATGCATTTCCGAGTGGAGAGGTATCCTATTTTGCACGTACACACCGCAAAACCCTTATATTAAGCAAATATATAATTATTATGGCCGGTAAAACAGGACGGTCCGGCATCCTCTTAAGAGGAATGGTTAGTGTCGGTCTACAATAGTGATTTAAGCTCTAAGCCTTAAGAAATTGACCAATCACGATCAAGTATGAGGAGAATACTCGACTGTGATTAGTCAATTTCTTAAGGCTTAGAGCTTAAATCACTATTGTAGACCGGCACTTATGATTGGCCGGTATAAAGCCCGTATCAGACTACGCATTGAAGATTGAGATTGAAGATTGAAATTTGACCAATCAGGATAGAAGGAAGTAAAATTTCCTTGTCCTGATTGGTCAAATTTCAATCTCAATGCATAGTCTGATACGGGCTTAAGGCCCTAGATTGGAATTTAACTAATCAGAACAAAAAGGACTAAAATTTCTTCATTCTGATTTGTCAAATTTCAATCTTGAATCTTGAATCTCAATCTTCAATGCGTAGTCTGATACGGGCATAATACGTATTAAAGTATATCGGTATAAACTGGGCCATTGATGAATATTGAAGCAATAAAGGTCTCATCTCACGAAGAGAAATATGTTCCATAAGAAATAGAAATTTACTTGTATATCTTTTTTTTTATAAGGTTATTTAACGTGCCGTCAACCGAGTAGCTATTTTTCAGTTTTTTTTTTACACTTCCACTTCTTTTTTCCTTTACTTGGATACCGATGATCTTATGTGTTATCGTATGATTTCTGTTTCCGATTATTATTCCGTATTTCGATTGCTGTTAGAATTATGAGATTTATTGCCATCTCAATTACTATGCAATAATACATTATTCCTCTTGCTTTCGTATATAAAAGGCAATTATGGTACGATATTTTCTTAAATTTTCGTACATTGGTACACAATACAGGTACAATATAAAGCATTTATATTTGATATAACCGTATGCAACAATCATTTCTCGTCTTTTGCGTCAAATCTGTATATATATTTATAGCAATTTTATCTTTTCTTTTATCACGAAAACATAACGTGACAATGTTTTCATAAAGGGGTTTGCAGAGACAAACTGGCGACAGTTTTATACGGGACACAGATTCTGTTCAAGGTGCTCTGGAAACTGCTTTATTAACCATCATACCAAGAAGCCTGGTTAGACCATCCATATGTCTTTCTAGCAGGTAATTTTTTTATATTTTTATTTATACAAGTTTCTATGGTAGTCTCTACAATCTGCAATATTTAATAAATACTACAGTATCATAATTATTGGCTAATAATTTGCATATTAAAGATTATAAATATATGCATAATTCTATTGTGCGTAAACTATTTTGCTGAAAGAACTATCTTTTCTTTGACAATGATGAATATGGTTGAATAATCGATTTAATTATTATTATTATTATTATTATTCTGTTTTGTATTTATATTTTTTATCAAACTTTCAAAATATATTTTCATAGAACAGATGCTGGAGTTCACGCTTTATGCAACACATGTCATGTGGAACTTGAAAATAAGTATGGTCGTTTATATAATACATCAGATATAAAAAAATATGTTAACCGTTATTTTGCCAAATGTGGTCATACCATCAGGTAATTAACAAATCTAAGATTCTTAAATTTTATTGCAATGTTTTAATACATATATAAAAATTCTTTTTATAGATTGCTGGATTGTATACCTGTCACATATGATTTTCACACAAGGCATTCTGTAAAATCTCGAACTTATATATATAGATTTATGATACCGAAAGAATCTGAGGAGCAACGGATATCCCTTGCAGAAGCGATACATACTCACCATCTTAGGTTTGTCATATGAGAAAAATAAAAATAAACATACTTTTTTTTAATAATGTATCTATTTCAGAGCATATGATTTCGATATAGATAGAGCGAAACGTGGTATAAAATTGTTTATGGGAACAAAGGACTTTACTACGTTTAGTGCAAAAAATGAGACAAAGCATAAAATCCAATATATACGTTCCTTACATTCTTTCACTTTGGAAGAGGCGCAGCCTTTAATGCCGTTTGATCCACTGTCCGAAAATTTTACATATTGGCACTTTATATGCAGTGGAAAATCTTTCTTGTACAATCAGGTAATATATTTTATTTATGAACATGGTATATTTTATTCATAAATACAATTATGAAATAAGGATTATAAATGTTACTCTATGCAGATAAGACGAATGGTCGGTGCTCTATTTGCATTAGGATTAGGGAAAATAACAGAGAAAGATATTACTGTGATGTTACAAGTTCCTTCTCATCATAACTGGAATCCTCGTGTTACACTTGCATCACCGAATGGCTTACATCTATTGAATGTAGAATACGATCCAGATGAATTAAGATATTGTACCATACTAGAAGAACAAAAAGAGAAACTGCAGTTGGAAGAACAAGAACAGGAATTACAGTTGGAAGAGCAAAAGCAGAAACTTCAATTGAAAGAATGAAAAAAGAAAAATAATTGTTTAAGTATTAGAACATCGCAATAGCTGCAAAATATTATTTTATGTGGTAAAAGATGTGGAAACAAGAATTTTCTCTCTTAACAAAATATATCGTATTTCATATGGTTTCTGATGCAAGTATATCTGAAAAGTAAAAATTATTATTAACAAATCTTCGCATGATGGATTTACGAGATCTTATCGCAAAAAAGAAATCATCATTAAAATCATGTAAAACGGTAATAACAGATCCGCTTGGCAACAAATACGAAGTTGAATGTGGCCAAGTAAAGAAATTGGAGAAAAGCCTACCATTTGTAGTGGACGAAAGACCTGATTTGCATGTCGCCAATATAATACCAGGTTTATATCTTAGCTCTCAAGATCCAGCGGTTTGCATCGATATATTAAAGAAATACGAAATCCGGCATATTTTAAGCATAGGCGTTAACATTTCCGAGAGATTCGACAATATTCGGTACCACATCTGTGACTTGTTAGACTTGCCGGAATCGAATATAATACTGTTGCTAAAAAGATGCGTCGATATCATACACGCGACTCGTAAAGAAAACATCCTTGTGCATTGCAACGCTGGCGTTTCTCGCTCCCCTGCTATTGTTATCGCTTATTTAATGATTCATAAAAAATTGTCATATGATGAAGCTTACAATAAAGTAAAAAAAGCGAGAAGTTGTATTAGGCCTAATGATGGATTTGTAGAACAATTACATAGTATCGAAAATACAACCTTTGTCGACGAGTTGTAATAGTGTGTTCTAATATATCTATACTAAAGACAACTTATACAAATATTTTAAAATTTTTACATAATATAAACATTTTTGATCACGTCATAATATATTTCATACAATATAGTGTATAATATATATATATGTGTGTGTGTGTGTGTGTGTTTGTGTGTGTGTATACACAACATACAAAATTGCAAATATATACATGTATATATATATATATATATATATATATGTTTATCGGGATGATTTCGCATTAATGTTATGTCTGAGCGTTATTTATTATCCGGGTTGGGACATGGGTCGCGCGAAATGTTTCGCTCGGTTACAATTTCCTGCGATGACCGTAACAGTTTTATCAGCACAGCGATGATGATGAAAGATGATGTCGACGCGATCGACGATACTCGAATGTGCATCGAGTATGACGGTCGCCGAGTACTATGGCGCTTATATCATTGCCACGTTAACGAACACGAATCAAGGCTAACGAGAATAATCATCTTGTTTCTATTGTACTTTTTAAGTTTGGGTGGGAGAAGAATGTAGCGTACATTGATGGGAGAACTTGAATTCAAGTATGTAGAAACTTAAGAAAAAAAGCAGCCAATATAAATACTGGGGAGGAAGTGTTTTGAGAATGTTAGTCGAGAACAAATGGATCTATGTAATTATATAAGATACATCTAATTTAATCCGAAATTTAGAGTGAGAGAAAGATATGTGATCTTATCTAATATAATTATATTTGGCTAGATTTGATTATATATAAAGATAGATCTAGCCAAATACGATTATAGAAAAATAAGATCATATCGTGTCACACACACACACACACACACACATATAAGTTTCGAGTATTATTATATATAATCATATAAAATTACATATATTTCCATTAGATTTTTTAAAAATTAATTATGTATATTTACATCTGACCATATTATACGATTTTTTCTCGGGTAGACATGGTTAATCATCAACAAAATATTATTGGAACAATTTTTGAGCTTCTGTCGAAGTAAAAGTAAACAATTAAAGAGAAGGAAAGACAGATGTGTATTAGAAAAGATAAAGAACTTTGGAGAGAGAATAGTTGATTCTAGAATACATTGTATAAAATAATTAAAATATAAAAGAAATAATTTAATACTGTAAAATATAATCTTTGAGTATTTGCAGATCAACAATTTTTTTTCTCTGAAACGATTTCAACTGCCGTCATAATAATGCTAACAAGAGAGATATGATATGAAAGGTCGGTATTTTCATAGATTGCATGATTCTCAGTTGCTCCCGGATGCTACAGCAGAGATAATTTTTTGATGAAAAAATGCATTTTACATAATCTGAAGATTCTTTAATAAACTAAAATTTATCATAATATATATACATATAAAAATAATTTTTCGTGTGTGATGGACGTAATTCTTTGCCTTTTTCTCTATAAAGATTATTTATTATAGCAATGTGATAATATGCAAATTAATATTTTAGGAATGTATTATATATTTTTAAGAACTTAAAAGAAGAACATATATAGCTAAATAAATAGAAAAAATCTATTTGTTTATATCTTTTCTCGGAAGATATGATTTTTCAGAATATGTTTCTAAAGTCATAAGTTAAAATTATCAAAATTAATGAAAATACAATGGTTTAAGCGAAGTAGATTCAGAAACGCAAACCATCGCTGACAATGAATATACTAGACCACAAATTATTATTATCAAATTTTTACTTACAAATTAAATATTGATAGAAATAATAATATCAATATGCCATATTTTTTTTACATATAGGATTTAAATTTTTAGCAGCTTTTTTATTATCTTTCTATTATGTAGTATTTTATTATTTTCTGACGTAATTAGGCTAATAATTGATATTTTAATATATGATAATTATATATATGAATGAAATATATATAATATATGTCTTTTTTAAATTTTTTCTCGATTAAATTCGAACATTTTTTCTTTCATAGTATAAACTAATTACTGTTTAATTCTTTTATTGTATTACATATACAATATATTAATATAATAATAACATCTTAATATACATATATTGAGTGTATATATGTAATATAATGTTGTAAATGTAAATTATAGATGATAAAACAGTAATTTGTTAAATTGAAACACTTTATCTTTGGTCGGTAATGTCAGCGTTCTTTAATTATCTTCATGTTTTATTGATTAATTCATCAATAGATAGAGAAGCACATTGAACAGATGTTTCATTTGGTAAACAACGATATGTACATATGAGAATATTGTGAATAAAGAAAGATTTAAATTAACGAAATTTTATATAATTTTACATAAAAGACTAATAAAGCAAATCTTACATTCGTATTCCTATTGTATAGCTATCTTTAGCATTTCAATATTTTATAATATATTATTTAAAAATAATGATCAAATTAGCAATTTATATATGTATATAAAATTCGATTTATTAATATTTAAAAAAATATAATTTTACAAAAAAGTTAAATATATATGTGTTATAAAAGCGTGACATCAGTTATATTTTAGTCAATCACAAGTGAAATAAAATATATATAATTGTATACACATATATCTGAATTTTTTTATATATATGTTTGCAATTTAAAGAGTTGTCTTCCTTGGAGCAAAGATCATAAAAAAAAACAGAAAGATATAATGCACATATAAGAAATGGATAAATGGATCAATGAATGTAGAATATATTGTTATAATAGAGAATCCATGTGTTATAACATTATTTACTTAAGTGTACAGAGAATATTGTTTCATATATATAATTACAATATATTTTATATCATAACTCATTAGAAAATTAGATTCATGCACAGCATCTATCAAATTCTTAGCCAAAATTAAGTATATTAAAATTTTTACTAATTCTGGCTTCTTTTCTTATATTTACCATGCATTGGAGATGACACATAGGTCGCTGTACCAAGTAGATTTATAAAAATTACTGTAAATCTAAAAAATATAAGTGAATTTCTGTATACATGATAATTCTATTATTTCATTAATAATAGTAGTGTATCATTGTACCCATGGTACCTATTACCTCTCTTTCTCTCTTCTATTACATATTATATAGAATAATTATTATCAGTATCCATATATACGTGTTTACATGTGATGTGTATATATATATACAGGCTGTCCCAGAATCACCGGATGATACTTTAGAGACAGATTAACCAATCTGGAATAATTTAATAAAAAATACCGAGTATTATATAAATTATTGTCGATACAATAAAAATATCATCAATAGTTTCAAAATTACAAACTATTGAAAATGAAGAGACTTTTTACAAGTAAAATTTCAGAGTTATAAAATGGCCTATGAAAAGATTTTAATTTAAGAAACTTCATTATAATATGTAATATTATAATTGCAAAGATTGCGATAAATAAGTTCTGAGATTTTTGCTAAGAAAGAATAGATTTCAAATTCCTGAATGTGAATCTATTCCGAGAGTATCTTCCAGTGATTTTCAGATATCCCAGATAAATGCAAAATATATATATATATATATTTTGCACTTACATATTTATATGTATAATCTAATATTCACATTCCTCCAACAATTGAAATGAGCTGTCTCGAAGAAAATAGACAAGGCACTTGAACTGAATATCCTTTTCTTAGCTAGTTGGCCTCATAAATAGTAGAATGCAAAGGACTTGCACATCAAACGGTAGAATGTAGGACAAGTAAATAAAGCCGGCTATCGAAAGGAATTCGTGTATCGTTCGCTATTCGTAATATTCAAAATTTGACCATTCTCTGCAACGGTGCCAATTTCGCTGTATAATGTGTCTCAATGAGTCTTGAGCGGCGCGCGCGGGATCAAGGCCTTCTAAATACCGTGTTCCTTATAACATATAACATTATGTGATTGCTTGTAAGGCAATTAAAAATAGCATAAGTTCCAGTTCGGATTGCGATGCTAAAAATACAAGAAAATGATCTCTCTACTTATATTGGGAAGTTGCAAAACGCATAATACAAATGGCATAAAATACATTTTTTCTGTTTCTACGGAACATCAGAAAATTCACTCACAGAAATTACATCGGTGTTCTAATCCCCGATTATATAAATCTATTATTTGGATATTATCTATCATTGATGAGAGAATGTACTTGATGCATCGATAGAATTCTCGTTTGTCACATTCAAAATCTCAGAGACGTGAACAGAGTTTGTAGTAATGTGATAAAAAATTGCGCGAGTTGCTATAAGCTATAAGGAATAAGCTTTTCCTTTGAAAGCCCCTAACACGTTTTTTCCCTTTTTGATTCGTAAAGATTTTACTATATAAATTTTAACAATTATGTGATGTAGTTTAGAAACCACTTGATTCAAGTGGCATAAAATAACGAGAAAATGCGCGATATATATGTACAAAAAAATATAAATAAATTAACAAATTATTATGCTAAGTCCAACGAAAAACGTTTACGACTTTCTGCAGTCTACACGCAATACAGAAATTATGTACCTGTGAAAGTAGTATAATATACACGAATATATAAATTGGCTAAATTCTGCAGAAAGAGATTGACACATACAAAACATTTGTCCTTTATCGTAGAATACAAACTATATGCAGAGTTTACGATCAATTTATGTCCTAAAATAGAGGACATTGTTGCGGAACATGGTTAGTTGTACTTTGCAATTTTTGTGGACTTGATCTCTTTTCTGCAGAATGCCGATCCAATCATTTCCCACGAAGCCACAGTCTTAAGTACAACATATCTGTACCTGGAAGGCATATCATTAGAAATACAGCCAGATTAAATCATACACACGATGTGTGCTGTATCGTCCGATTGGAACGAGCGATAAACTCAGGACAACATGCGTTACAGTTACAGATACATAGAACATCGGTATTATGAGTTGTAAATATAAACATCGTCGTCGAACGCGTTGTGTGTAGTAAACCAGTGTCAGAGTCCAATAGAATGGCCAGGTCGTATGCAGCAACGTCAGTAATGGAACAGGCAACCACCCAACACAAGTGC